CGAGTTATCCGGCATTTCTTATTGGGGAGTTGGCTTGGGATCCTACAATTCAATTGTTTCGGGTTGGGTTAAGGGTTTCTGGTTTTGTGAATAGGCTTCGTGTGCCTGTGCTGGGCTCCTTGATCCGGGCTTGGGCTTGGGGGGGGTCGCTTGCCTGTGGATGGCTTCAAACTCCGAAGGGTTTGCTGCTCTGCAGGGCCACGTAGTGCAGCCCCTGGGTGTATCCCTAGTCTATTAATATTCTATATAGTCTAGAACAAGAAGAGACTAGGGTTTAGGGTTACGAATGCCATGTTCGGATGCAGCGAGCTTCTGCTATGATGGCATCACAAGATTCGGGCGAATCTCTCGACGATGAAGAGGCCTGGCTACAGGAGTTGTTGGCTTATGGACGACAGAAACAGAGACTGAGAACCTTCGATTTGCATCAGTCTTATAGATTTCTGGATTTTTTTGCAAAGGTCGTGGTACGAATTAGAGTATTCTGTCTGCCTCTTGGCCACTGCAGCTTGCATCGAAGGACTGGTGCAGCCGCCAGAGCATATCGAGGTCGTAGTGCCCATAGCACCTCCGGGTGCTGTCTTCAAAACTGGATCTGCTGTGAAATATGTTTCAGACAACTACTGGAAGCTTCGAGTGCCGAAGCACTTGGCTGAGCTGCCTCGGATGAAAGGGGTCATCCAAGATATTATGGCTCAACCTGCTTTAAAGCTTGACCTGTTGCCTTCTCAAACGCTGGCGAGCAAAATCCTGGAACGTGCTCATATCGTGGTCCGTGGGCTCCCTGACAACTGCTGCTTCAAGATAGGCTTGACTAGCAATCCTGTTCATAGATGGTGCAACACAGAGTACGGCTATCAGCACACTTCGAAGCCTTGCTGGGCCAGCATGAGGATTGTGGGTATTCTTGCTTCTGGAGAAGCCGCCGGCTTTTTGGAAGCTGCCCTTATCGATCGTTGGCAATTGGATGCTCGTTGCTTGAACTCTGCAACCGGAGGCGAAGGTTTATCTTGCCAGGAAGGCCCATGGTGTGTGTACGTCGTGGTTGGAACCCGTCCCGATGCACGCTGAAAAAGACGTTTCGAGGTCAAGCTTTCAACCCTCCATTATGAAGACTAACTATAAATACCCCTATGCCAAGGCCCAAGCTCCAAACGAAACAAAGCCCCAGAATGCTAAGATCCAGAGCCTTCGAAAGCCGCAATGATAATAGGAAAATAAAAAGACTACTGAGAGATCCTGAATAATAACAATATCATAGTATTAGTGGTCTAGTGAAGCCACACCAAAAGCCCGGCCCATCGATCAGCACAATTCCTTATTTGTCACAACAAGCACCCAATAAAGGAACGAATCTACGATAATATACTACTCCTCCCAAGGCTACCTTTCGCCGACTCCGGCTCCAAGTCGACGCCGAGAGACGCAGCTGCTGGAGGAGGAAGCCGAGCCCAAGCAGAAGAAGACCAAGCTAGAGAAGAAGACCGCTTTTTCTGCTGCCGAGATCGACGAGCAGTCCGACGAGAAGGCCCCCGACGAGCAGTCCAAGGAGAAGGTCCCCGACAAGCAGTCCGACGAAAAGCCCCCCAAGAAGCAGTCCGACGAGAAGGTCCCCAAGAAGCAGTCCAAGGAGAAGGTCCCCAAGAAGCAGTCCGACGAGAAGGTCCCCAAGAAGCAGTCCACGCAGAAGGTCCCCAAAGCCGCCTAGAAGCAGCCCCACAAAGCCCTAGAAGCAGCCCCACAAAGCCCTAGAAGCAGCCCCACAAAGCCCCCAAAGCCGCCTAGAAGCAGCCCCACAAAGCCCCCAAAGCCGCCGAGAAGCAGCCACAGAAAGCCCCCGAGAATCTGTCCGAGGAAGCCCCCGACAAGTCCGACGAGAAGGTCACCGACAACAAGCAGTCCACGCAGAAGGCCGCCGGGAAGCAGTCCGACGACAAAGCCCCCAAGAAGCAGCCCGAGCAAGCCCCCGAGCTGAAAGAGTCCAAATTTAACAAAGCCCAAATAAAAATCGCGATGAAGCTCCACAAAGCCCTTGCAAAGAAGCTACCCAAGCTAGCTGAGGAGAAGCGAAAACCTGGCGATATCTGGTGGGACTACGAGATGCAACGTGCCTGCCTCGAAAGCCAGACCGGCCCGGTGTTTTCTTCGATTCCCTTTGTTCAGGAGGATGAGGTTTTCGTGAAATTCCCCGACGGTCTTGTGTGGTCGGTTCCGCACCTCGTGCCTGCAGACCTTCAGGCTGATGGTGGTTTGCCGGCCGCCCCGAGCATCCCGAGTACGCAAAAGCAGAAGCCCAAGCCGAAACCCAAACAGAAAGCCGACAAGCCCGTCGAGGACTATGTGTTCCCGATCATCCGCTGCAAGTACTGCACCCAAGGGGCCAAGAGCCCCCTGATCAAGATCGAGGCACGCGAGGATCGCCACGACACCTCCAGCAAGTGGCTGCAAAAACTCCAGGTGGTCATCAAGGATGACCTCAGTGTGAGGAAAGCCATGCACATCGCCAGAACCTTCGCCGATTGTTATGTGTACATGAACTTGAACCCGGCAGAAATTAATTTCAGGGGCTGTCGCGACGATCTCTTGGCTCACAACCACAATTGGGAAAAGTCAGCTTTGGATTGGCAAACCGTCAATTCGCTACGCCTGAAGCACTTCCCCAAGTCGCAACTTGAACGGTATTTGTATGTAGCATTTCGTGGTTTGCTCCTGCATATAGATCCATACCTATTTGTAAATACATATATACACATACAAACCTAAACTCTCTCGACTCTCTCTCTCTCACACACACACACCCACACTTAGATATATGCATGCTGTACCCATGTTCCCGCACAGAAACAAACCCCGCAACCCGGCCCCAGCCACACACACACACACACAC